ATTTTAAATTGCAATTCAATATATGGATACTCGAGAGTAGCTAGATAAAAATATATGACAGCTTGTTGGATAAGGATTACATTTATAAATGGGAATATATGTATGTCAATGGTTTATTAATAATAAGTAGCTCAGCTGTCGCGTAAGCTTTAAGAGTTTTTAAATTTTACAGGTGGCTCAGTAAATATATTTATTATAGAGACTATGTATAGGCTTAGATATACAGACATAGTTATATTCATACTTATATTTGTTAATATAATATTAAGTACTCTCACTTACTCTCTCCACTGCGGTGGAGTTATCTATCTTTTTTTTTTATAAATTTCTTGATACTATGGAGAAAAATCTCGAGAAAGTTTTATGTTTTCATTAGAATTCAACAATTACTAGATTTTTTTATTGTTTGCCTTAAAATCACTTCACTAGATCACCACCACCTGTGATCAAAAAGTAAGGTTTCATTATTTATTTTTCTAATTTTTCCGCCTTCAATACCTTCTTCGATTTGGTTTATATCTCCTCAATCGTGGCGGAACGGCGTCCCCGCATTGACCTTATGAGTGTTTTTAATTGTCAGAAGGCGAACGGTGTCAAATTACTTGAATGCGGTGATTGCGGAACGATAAGAGTCGAGCTTTTAGCAAAAAAGTTGCAAAGAACCTATGACAAATTGACAAATAACAGTTTGGCCCAGCGAAAGGAGTTCATAGTGCAACATACCACGGTAATCACTCACCTTGCTTTTTGATAACTGGTATTGCTGACAGAGAAATTTTGCGCTTGGTGTAAAGTAAAATTTCTGTGTGACGTTTATGCACAGAAATGATATGGGCGAAAGTTGGTTGAAAACGGTTGAGTAGTTTTTAGATGAAATTTTCAAAAAGAAGCGAGTCTGTGGTCCACTGACCACTGTATCATCCTCGTACTGTGATCCAAAACTATTTTGCGTAATGAGACAGTTACAGCTCTTTTAGAGCGCGTACTAATTAGCAGTTGTCTGACAAAGATATAAAACTATTAGCAAAAATAATGTTTCTATTTAATTTAGTTGGCATAAATTAGCAGTTTATCAGATTTTAGGCGTCTTTGTTTTTGCGGGAGGCCACGTCTATTTCTCGCAAATTTAAAACCACTTTGCATTAATTCTAAGGGGCGCAAAATTTTACAAAACCATAAAAATTTTGAAATATATTTAAATTTTATTACAAATAGAATTTTTAACGCCTTGTTTTTACCCTGCTCTTTACCTAATATTCACCTACTTCTAAACTGCTGTATTAAAGCGTTTTTTATGATCTCTTTATAAAAATGTATTTTGTTTTATTTTTGAGCTGTTGTTTAAACTCAAGCTGTTAAAAACAAAAGTGCTAAATATTTTTCCCAGTATCTTGCTTTTATTATTTCATATTTGGCATACTCTTTCCTTCGAAATAAAGTAAGTGTAAATTTTGCAAATTAATTCCACTCTTATATTTTTATGCCGCAAATTCAAAAATCTATGTAAAATAACAAGTTTAAGCTTCATGTCAAAACATTAAGCCAAAAATGTATAACGGGTGTTTCAAAATAATTTAGAAATACAATTTTATAGAGAAAATAACATAACCTAATATTAACTGATTGTTTTTTCGAATCATACTACTTTTGAATAAAATAAGTTAAAGTTTAAAATGTATTCAAATGCTTAGGCTGTTATCAGAGGGAAATTTAACGTATAGCTGAGAGGCAAGAGCAGGATAGATAGAGACCAGATATTTGGAGTTTATATACTTTCTCTCTCCTTTAAAGATTCAAATATTTTAAGAAATCATCTGTTGTTTCACCATTTTGAAAATAAAATTTCTTTCATTAATATTTGTATACCCTTAAGAGGATATTTAATTTGCCACGTGTTGTTCAGATCTGACGACTATAGCTATATATTTTATTTTTACGAGTTGGCATCACGAACTTTTGCAAAAATTCAGATCGGACCACTTAACATATAGCTGTCATCTAAACTGGCTTATAAATATAAGATATAGAACTTTTATACCGATTTATGCAAAACAATGCGCCCGTAAAGGGTATAAGTTCGGTGCAGCCAAAGTTAACGATTTTCTTGTTTGGTAATGCTGATGGTGAGAAAAAGCTGCAGCTAGAAATGCGAGTTGAAGAGAGAAAAATATATTAAAATAAGCTACACGATTTTATTCTTTCTTTTTATTATTTGTACTAAATAAATTCTCAGTTGACTACAGAGCAGTTATAGCTTACCTTGCCAATGTTGCTACTTTACTCAGTCTTACTATCTCGTAGTAAGCTTAAGATCAATGCAATAAGACGTTAAAAATACAGAGTCTTAGTTCTTCACGATGTATCTCTTCAATTAGGTCTAAAAAACTTTTCAATGCTTCTGTATGCCATGTGTAGAGTTTATAACTGTATAAAGGAAGAGAAAGCAATCGCTACTCGACGAATGCTACTTCTTGACATATGCACATTTGGAATTTTATCAAAATAAAATAAAATATAATAATATATATATTTAAGAATTTGCAATATTTCAAGCCTTAGACTTTCAACTTTCGACCCACATTTCAATTTTGGAAAACTTTCGATAGATTATAATTTGGTCTACACAAAATTGATTTGGGAAATGAACTCACACTTTCATTCCAACTTTGTCTCAACATTTCAAGCTAGAAATATGTATCACTGTCAGCATAGTTTCCAATTGCACCACCCAGTATGAGAGGATTCAAATTTTGCTACCAAATATGCGCATACAATGTAAAAGCAGATCTAGATAGACTTGTAAATGTTTTCGCTTGCGTGCTTTCATAGCCTGCAAACATTAGATTGAAAATACGCTTGTAAAAGTTTTAAATTTAATCTCTTAAGCCTTGTACTTATGTGCATTACTGTATGTAAATAAATATCTATGCACATACATATATATCTATGTATGTATATCTGATATTTACGAACATTACGCATGTTTGTGATTTGCTCGGCGTGTACTTGTGCGCAAACAAAGGCAAAGCAGTTGCCAGCTGAGTGCAAATGTTTTTGTTGCAAAGTAAAGCAACATTAAAAGCCGAAAAACTTTTTATGATGGTGTAAAGCACAAATGCTGCGCTGTTTCACTGATTTGCTGCCACATCTTCACCACCATCGCCATCGCCATCACCATCTTTATTACTACATTCAGCCGCTTAGATAATCTGTCTAACGCTTGGCGTGAGCTCAGTAAATGTGTTTGTATATATAAGTGTGTATATGTGTGTTATTCGGCACCCCTTTAATGTTAACAAGTTAAAAAGTAAAATATTTGTAGCTTTTCACTTTCTTAATTTTTGCGTCTTGTTGTGCTTTTCAACGTCAACATTGCATTTGCTTTGCTCCTTTTTACATTATAGTGTGTATCTGTGGATGTGTTTGCTTTTCGAAAATACGTACTTTTTCATGTACTTTAATTTTTCGACGTAATTCTATGTTAAGATACACACAAGCCAGTACAAAAGTATACTTTTGCTGCCCCAGGGCCATTTTAGTCTGTTCTACCTGCTGTGCTCGGTAATTCGAACTTTTCTTGTTGCAAGCGAGCGCCTCCTTCGGAAGAGAGTTGCTGGGTATCATATGTTAAGCAGACAAGTTTCACAAAATACATACATAAAGGTGGACGTTGCAACACATAACTCGGAGGAATCGTGGCAATTTCGCAAGTATGCTTCATTTGTCTGGTCTGTGGGGAACCATTCCTGCTGAAATGCTCCGCTTCCAGGGCTGATGCTGAAAAAGAGGTTTAGTCAAATCGGTCGAAGTTAAATTTGAAAAGTTTAATATGTGAGCACACGCTTCAAACTTGCATATACCGCAATTTTTTTCTGACTTGAATGTTATTTTTTTGTATATTAACAATATATATGTAGAAACAGCGTGTGAATTTTCAAAAATTCGCTCAAGTTTTATTAAAAACGTATTTGGAAATATATGGTATATAAGCAATAAGACATATACCTTAAAAATCCTTGGTTGTTGTATGTGTTGTTTTAGCGGTCAAAAACATTCTCGAAATAATTATGAGCGTTGCTGCTGAGCTGACAGTCATTGGGTGAACAAAATTCGGGTCCATTTCTTCAAAATTCGCAACCAAACTGTCGGTAGACCCTCCGAGTAGATCGAAGTAGTGGCTCTCAGTAAGAGTTTCAAGAAGTCTCTATACCTGTAAATTTGAAACCCATTAGTAAATTTTTAATAAAATACTTGGTAATGAGACGCAAACTTAAACCTTCCTGAACTATGTCGAATATTTGGTTCTAAAAAAATCCTTAAGATGGCCAAATGGACTCAAAACTGTTTGGGTTTGTATTATAGATTTCTTCTTAAGGATATTATAAGAGTAGTTAACCTTCAGCGATAATCCCGAACTTAATAAGAACATTTTAATATGGCCGGTTATCTGAGTTGGCTTACGATAGTTTATACAGTTGATCATTTTTTGAAACCAGTTTTAGATTTTAGTCGCCGTATAATATACCCTGTAAAGGATACATTAAATTTGCCAAGAAGTTTCTACCACCCACAGGGAAGTGTCGGATACCCTATAAAATATATATGTATATAAAAGATCAGCATGACGAGCCAAGTCTACCATATTTAACCTGTTTGTCTGTATATACGCGAACTAGTTCCTCAGTTTTTGAAACATCAATTTGAAAGTTTGCACAAAAAGTGCTGTGAATATATACAGCTCTTCAGAGAGCACACATAAAGCTAACCACAAAGTTTTTGTCATATTTGTTTATAAATTAATTTTAACCTTCACAAAATACCGTAGGTATTTGAGACCTTGCAATAAATGTGTCCCAGTTCGACTTTATACATCCAACATCCAACATGTGCAAATATTATAAATGAAACCGTTAAATTGCATGACGAAAAATTCAAAAATGAAATTAGTGCACATAAAACACCAAAATAAAAAAAATTAACGAATTTCTTCTACTCCACAGGGACCGATCCGAATCCATTAGCATCTGCGTACATGTCAACGGCCGCCGGCTTGCCACAATTCAGCAGCACCGCTTTATCGACTTCGCCACTGGCCAGCGTGGCATTGAGCAGCGCCGCAGCAGCAGCGGCCGGCAAACAAATCGAAGGTAAGTTCATTAGCACAGTATATGTGCGCCCAGCCATGCAGCCCAAGCTGGTGCGTGCACTTCCAGCGCCCAAGGTGTGAAATGGTCCGCGTACATCGATATTATTTGTGTGTGTCTGTATTTATTTTTTGAGACTTACAGATTTTGTGCATTTATGAATTTGTTGCGGCGCTGACGTGCGCAATGTGATCGATACAGTTACATACAGTTGGTGCCACACAGGTGTTGCAATTGGCAATGGCAATTGCAGTTAACACTGCACACAGTCCTTTCGCAATCGCTAGCATGGCATTTTGATTAATTTACCAAATGTCATAACTGTTCATATTGCTAACTGTATGCTGTGTTTGCTCGACTACATCACCGTCTGCACAATTTTCGAGCTTTCGAGCTGGTCACTATCGTTGCTTATTTGCTAGTGTTCCTTTGCTGACAGCTTTTATATGTTTGGGCAACATAGTTGTCGTGGTGGCGTCATCGGCTATTGTTTGATGCGGTTTTAGCGTTTTGCTGAATGTGCCAGTTAATGCTGTTGCCACTACTTGCCACGTAATTAAACAATTTCATGTTCATGTTCATGTTTCGCTTATGCAGACATGACACATTTGAGACGCCCAGCAGGCAGCTAACTAAAACGCCAACGTACCGTCATTAATCAAAACTTCCATCATAGTAACTAACTGTACACATATACATACACAGTTTTTTTCTTTTTTTAAACATAATGCTCATATTATATTTATTTATTTCCGGTAGTTGAATGTCATAGAAAATTTCATGAAAAAGTTACGTATACGACATGGTGTTTTATTAATTATTCATCATTTAGCTTCTGGTCATACCTATGTGCCAAAAAAAAAGTAAAAATAACAATATTTTTACAAAGTTTTAACGCAATTATGAGTTTTAGACTTATAGAAACACAAACTAAAATGAACAGGCCAAAATTTTAACAATATGCACTAAGGAATATATGCAAACTATTATTTTATGGACTTACTGTCAATGCCAAAATAAATATATTGTTGTCATGATGCAGATTTTACAGTACCGTGGATAATAATCAGTCCAAATTTCGTGAGATACTTCGTCAAATAAGAAAGTGTACCAAACCAGCATTGGATTTTGATCAATCAGTCTGTACGGCACACATTCTTCGAAGATTGTGCCATTGTTTTTAAAATAGCTTATGCCAAATTTCATGAGGATATCTAGTCAAATATAAATTTTTCAAACAAGAACTTGATTTTGACGAACAGTTTGTATATCAGCTATAGGCTATAGTAACCCGATCTGAAAAATTTCTTCGAATATTTACCTATACTCTGAGTAATAATCCATGCCAAATTTTGTAAAGATACCTCGTAAATAAAAAAAAGTTTTCCATACAAGGCGTTATTTTGATGATCAATTTGTATGGCAGCGGTTCCCACAAATGTACAACTTCTTAAAAAGAGAAGGATGAGTACAAAATTTCAGACAGATATCTCAAAAATAGATATATGACATATGTATAACAGGAGATGGCCAGCGGACATGGCTAAATCGATACAGTTCGTCAGCAGTATTTACACATACTGCAAAATTTATGTGGATAACATATTTATAACTAACATGTTGTTCATATAACTCATCGCACATCCTCT